CAATGGGTTGTGCATTAACAAACTCAAGATTGTAGATTGATGAAATCATTGGCTACTACTCTTTGTTGGGTTGCACAACCCTATTGTGCAACTCGATTCTAAACGACAGAGGTTTGATGTTATAGAGTGGGTAGTATTGTTGTTGATTCTTAGTTATTTGACATTTGTAGTTAGTAACTATAATTCGCTGAGTGGTACGACATTGTATGACAGCATCTTTTGACTGTATGGTGACCGAGAATCATGGAAATGATTTAGAAGTCTAAATAACTTGAAGTCACATTTTCAAACTTCTAGGTTCTTAATTTATAGTTCAAGCTGTTATAAGTTTCAAGTGTATGTCACTTCTGTACGGATTCCAGCCTTTGATTACCTTTTATCCGTATCTTTCTATGTTCATGTGTGGTGTTTATAATAAGTGTTGATTTTTCGTGCCTGGTTTGAGGTCTCATTACACTAGGTCTAATTATCTCACAATGTTCTCTCTGACATTGGTACTAGCCTGTACTTGGTTACTAGAATTTGATTTAAGCTGTTCTAGATATCGCTAGTTGGCATATCAAATTCAAATACTTCTGAGTATTACAGTATTCAGAAATGTTGGTTGACTGTTGAACGCTATGATCTCATGTTCAACTCTGCATGGAGCCGTTCTTCTGTTAACTCATGTGTCGACACAGGTAAAAGAAGGAATTTCGCTATTGTCGGAAACTTTATTTCATAAAACGGGAACCTTGATAGAACAGCGCTTACTGCTAGATTCATTTAGACCATTTAAACTCTGTCCTGGTAGTTGATGTGTCTTCACATAGCAGAGTTGTGACGCTTCCTTATGAAAGCCGAAGTCTATAGGATACCACGAGGTTGGTGACCTCTTTAACAACCAAAGTGACAAGTAATATGGTCTGATCACGTGAACGTACACCGAAAGGCCTACTGAACCATTTAAATAGCTGCAAGAGTGTAGAGATACAACTTAGCCATTTTTAAAGTGAAGTGAATGAAGTGAAATTCAGTTGACTGCGTCTGTTAAGAAAAGAGTGACTTTAAGAGAGTTTCTGCTGTATTCTGATCATGAGGATGAAAATCTCTCACAAGCAATTATTTCTTCCAACTCTGTCAGAAGAACGAAAAGAGTTTATAGGACGGGAAACCCACGCCCCAGAATCACCAAAGCATCTTTCAAGACAAACAAGGAAGAGATCACGCCGACTGTTGTCCAATGCTGACCACCCACGAATTGTGGTAGTGAAAATGATAAAGTCACGTTTTATGAGAGACTCCAGTTTATCGCATAGAAATGCACAGGGAGAAACGTGGCTATACTTATGAAGGAGCTGAACGTCGAGTCAGGATGGAAGGAACTGAGTAAAGACGTTTAATGGGGTGACAGAGGTTTGAAGAAAGGATCAACAGTAGTGACCGACTGATAAACTTGTGCTCTAAACAACATGGTTGTGGTTAGTTGTATTCTCCCCTACAAGTGTATATGCAAAGCTACATGGGCTTGACCAAATCAAATGGTTCAGATGGTTGTGGACGGAATAGAAGAAGCTTTCGCTTAACAGGCTTCCGTGTCTAGTAGCAGGGGATCACCAAATCCTCCAGGCAGGAACCTAGGTATGTTAACAATAAAAGAGGAAAAGAAATTGGTAAATGATAGTGTAATACTATCCTTAGTCCTTAAGTATAGATCAAGTTGCCTCTTAAGGGACTCCTGGGAAGTCGCTTGGACTAGCTCGGCCGGCAGCGAACTCCAGCATTTGACAACTCTTAAGGAGTAGAAATTGTGTCTACATTCCGTCTTGCTATATTGTGTTTCCAGTTTCTGGGTGTTACCCCTTAGGTTATAATTCGAACTAAGCTTAAGCAGGTGTTTAAGAGGATGTCCAGAAGTGTTAAGGATGCTATAAGCCACCAGAATGTTACCTCTAAGACGTCTATACTCTAATGGGTAAAGGTTAAGTGAATGGAGGCGCTCTTCGTAAGGTTTAAATTTGAGTCCTCGAACTGATTTCGTGACTCACCGTTGGATATGCTCCAGGGTGTTCTTATCCTTTTGGAATGAGGGGGAAATACTATGTTTCCGTACTCTAAATGGGGACGGATGAAACTATTGAAGATTATATGGAAAGTTCTTCCGTCAAACTGGCCAAAAATGCGCCTCAACGTTACCAGTGCAAGGTTTGCTCGGAAGGCATTTTTGTCACAGTTGGCGTAAGACTTCAAATCATGGGGCACCAGGACTCCTAAATCTCTTTCGACTTGGGATACTACTAGAGAGGAATTTCCTAAGTTGTAACTGTAGTGTGCGACATGTCGCAGATGGACTACTTTACACTTTGAAGTGTTGAAGGTATGTCCGTTATCGTCTGCTCAACTTTGAAGTCGAGTCAGATCCTCCTGAAGTGCCTGTGTATCGTCTTGGTTGCGTATCTCTCTCCAAAGTTTCACGTCGTCGGCAAAAAGTAATAAGTCTGACGTTACCTGTTGGGGAAGATCATTTATGTAGATCAAGAAGAGAAGAGGTCCTTGTACTGAGCCCTGGGGGACCCCACTAGGACATTCCATAGCCTGAGATAAAGTGAAATTAACCCTGCTCTTAAAATGTGGATTTTTCAGGTATGAAGTAAGCCAATCGGTTTGATACCCAATCGTTTGAGCTTATTGATAAGACACAAGTGGTTAACCTTATCAAAAGCTTTTGAGAAGTCTAGGTAGATGATATCAACCTTCCCCTTGTGATCAAGGATGCTTGCCCATCTGTCCACCGCAGTCAGCAGGTTGGTAATACAAGAGTAACCCTTCCTGAAACCGTGCTGTTGGGGTGAGAAGAAATTTAAGGACAGTAAATAGTCTTTTATACCATCACATATCAGGGACTCCATGATTTTTGAAGGTATGGAGAGAAGAGCCACCGGTTGGTAACTTGAAGGTTCGCTGCGTCGACCTCCTTTGAAAATTGGTGTGATGTGAGCCAACTTCCAATTTTCCGGTAGTTTTCCTCGACTTAGCGAGTGTGAGAACATCATGCTAAGCGGCGTTGTCAAGATTGAGGCTGCTTCCCTCAGTATAGCGGAATGGACCATGTCCGGGCCAGGAGACATGTCTAATCTTAAGTGCTGCAGTTTCCGGAAAACCAAGTCAGCGCTTAGGTTCACTTCGGAGAGTCCTGTGGAATTGCAAACGAAACTATCATCAGTAAAGTTGATGGTGGTCGGTTGAAATGTCTGGGAGTATTGTTCAACCAGAAGGTTAGCGGCGTCGCCATCGTTGTTGGTCGGGCCGTTGAGACCTACCAGTTGGGAAACTCCACTTTTGGCTTGACGAAGAGAGGCTGCATAACAGAATAAGCTTTTAGCATTGGAGGCAAATTTGTTTATAAGCTTTGTCTGGTACTGGAGCCTGTCTTCTCTCATAGCCTTCGTGCATATGTTCCTGATTTGTTTATATTGCCTTTACGCTCCGTCGTTGTCAGTTCGTTTGCATTCCGCCCAACAATGCCTTCTGTGGCTTAGCAGGCGAAGGGTATGGTTTTTGATTATTGTAGGTGGCTTGCAGCTTTTGGAAACCGTTTGAGGAACTGAATGGTTTTGTAGCACGTAAGAGCGTGTGCAGTAAGAAGTCCCAATGACCGTCCACGTCGAGTTGGGGGGTGAATATCCCGAACCACCTGTTGTAGATAGTCGTGTAGAGCTGGCGCATTCAACCGTTTAAAATTCCAACGCGAGATATTGATGAGGTATCTTAGCTTAGTTTTGGTGACAAAACTGAAGGCCATGACGGCATGATCACTTTTTCCCAGGGGAGCCAGGATTGAGAGGTTGTCAACTAGGAATTCTTCGTTTGTGAATACACAGTCTATGCTCGATGGCGTCTGACTGTTTCTCTAACGAGTTGCCGACCTCACATTTTCGTATAATCCCAAGTTGTCGATGAGGTTGAAGAATCGAGCTTCAATTGAGTTATCGCCTCCAGTTACAGAAAAACAGATCAACCACATCTGGATGAGTAAAACTTCGGAAGATAAATGGAGGACGCGAGGACGAAGAGAGGAACTGACAGCTTCAGGTCACCCCCTGGTGGTGGCCAGATTAGAATCGATACAAAATAGACATTGAATAGTTAGATAAACAACACTACAAAAGTTAGAGAAAACTACAATCCCAAGAAAGCTTCTGGAGATAAGTCGAAATCCAGCTCCAACTTACTAGGAGCTGTTAGGTCACAATAAACACCACCATAAAGAGTGAATCTCTGTCGATACTCTGAGCAGGATTCAAGAAAGGAAAAACAAGAATGCATAAAGTAAAAACAGCAAAACCAGAGACACAGGCGGAATACATGGGAGCAAACAAGAGTGTGGAGAGAGAGATTGGAGCAGACGAGCAAAAACGCGTAGAAGATCTAGCAGTGACAGATGAGAAAGCTGCAAGGGGAGGAAATATGATACTAGAGAAAGGAGATCTTAGTCAGAGTTAAGACTACAAAGGAATCGAACCACTATTAGTATCCGGAGATGTTTTCGACAGAATAGCACATAAACTATACTTGAGGACAACTCAAAACGACAGCCCAGGGCAGAGTTGTTTAGAGATTCCCTTTTAACAGTCTATGACCCACGAGGCGTGCCATTGAATAATCGTAGAACATAAAGTTACCTTATAATAGCATACCGCATCTTAAGTAATGATTTGGGTTTTACAATTTTCTTAATTTTACTGTCCCCTTCGGAACTGATCATCTTTGTTGTCATACAAGAGGATCCAAAAACTGCGACCAAATAAACTGCGTGGTAAATGTTTGGAGCCAACCTATCCGAGCTAGTGTCATCAGCCCTACTAGTGAATACTTTGGAAGAGTACCTTGATCTCCACTGGAAAACGAGCTACAAGAATTAGCACAGGTTAACCGACCAACAATCCCTGACATTGAGGATTGCGAATGAGTGAAGACTGACCTTGACTGGACAGTGTTACTAACTGTAGGTCAGAGAGACCTGAGATTCACAACTAAGTCAAAGGTAGGCACTGGCTTTTTCAGTTTCTGTAACTCACAAACTCTTCAATTTACAAACTTCTTATCGTTCATCGTGTTGTTAATTTGGTAGCAGAAATAAAGTACGTGGGTGAGCCGATCAGGTTTCGGTGCGAGATATACCCATAATGTGAATCCTAACAATTCATGTGTAAATGTTCATTATTCCTGTTAAGTCTGTTCATCCACTACTATTGTTAATTTTTTTGTCACAAGTTTTACAAGTAAGTAAAGTAGATTTTTAGCCACTTCAAAGTAGCTCAAGGATCGCCCATATACTACCACCAAGTAATGTACGTAGACCCATTTACTTTTAATACAATAACTCATCTTCGAACTTGGTTTGATTATATTAGTACAAGTAAAATCTAAGGCATAATTGTTTGATATGCCGTATACCCTCAAACAGTACAGTTTATATGTATATGCCGTTAGTGAATAGTATACTGTCGCTCCACAGGAATGAAAGACCAGATTTTTTAAACACTATCTGAAGTATTGAAAGCAAAGCTCTTATGTTGGGTTTCTGTGCCAACCTAGATTCTGTTCATTTTCTTGCTCCTAGTCTGTTAAATTTCAAAGCTTCATACCGAACCGTCAATAAAACATTGCTTTCGCAACCGCTTTGAGCACATCACTGTTTTAGTAAGTATGAAGTAACAGGATGAACAAGATGAGTTCAAAGCTGACTTTTTAAATTTGGGCGTCTTTTTTGTGCCGTTCAGATTTTTTTTTACAGGTCAGAGTATTCTGGTGGCGTTCTGCATACGAGTAGCATCTAAAATAATAAAAATCTAGCTGAAATAATAACATGGAAGCTCTTTCTACTGTACGTATCCTTACCTTTTTGGTCAGAACGTAATAAATCAGAATATTTTTGCGGATTGTTGGTTTTAGCCTCCAAATCGATATTTTCCGTTAATTAATACGTTAGGTAGTTTATATGCTGCTCGAATGATCAAACTAACTACTTGACGTCATTTGGGTGTGCAATAAGGTTTGTTCTAATGGCAAGATAACAATTAGATTCGACCGACCATTTTTGCTGTCTGTTCCTTTTGTCCTAGGTGTCTTATGTTCAGAGTTTTCCCTTTACATTAACTATTTACTCTGGCATTTGGGTTTGATCTACCTTGGTGAGAAGTTTATTCTTCGACATGATAAAATATATATTCGGTCTCTGCTCTATGTTAACTGATATTTGATAAAAACCCTTCACAATTTCAAGTATTGCGTTCTCCTGCAACATATTTTCAGTTCAGTGCTTTGCAACTGATTATGATCATATTTTCATCTTGGTTTTGGTATTTTTAAGTCTTATTGGTGCAACCCTTTTTCTTATGTCCATATAGAGCATCAAGGCTACAATTTTGGTCCGTATACTAAACGCGAATTCGACTTAGTCTATAAAGATTTTCAGTGTTTTCAGATGTCCACCGTAACAGATGGTTTGGTTGTGCAATAATTTTTATATGGTTTACAAATTGTATAGACGAAATCATAAAGAGAAGACTTTTAATCGAAGGCGAAAGTGGAAATGATGATCGCAGAATTACTCTATTACTGAAAAATTATCTTCGATGGGTAGCTTCTGATGATGTTGGTGAAGACGGGTAAATGATTTCCGAAATCTTTATTTGGGTCAGCTACGAAGCCTATCAAGCCCTTATAGCTAGTGTTTACCAGTGTGAAAACGCCATGGAACAGTCGTCATTAGTAATAGCTATGAACTACGAACAGCAAAAACAGTATGAGGATTTATATAAGGAGATTGGTATGTTGCAACTACGAAAATTATCCTCATAGAAACGGCCATTGAAAGTGCAAAAAATCGCATTCAGCAATGTAAAGAAGATCTGAGGTCCGCAAAAACCGTCAGGAAAAATAGACGAGGTAATTTGGTGCGTAGTTAGCTTATTTCAACAGAGTATGACAGTCTTGCCAAAGTTCTTTGTGATCATCCAGAGAGAGATGAGACACTTGAGTAAGTTTCTATATTTTGCAGTGGCTTTATATTAAGAACTATTCATCGACTTACGCCCCAGTGTCAATACAGCAGGTGAAAAATTCTTATTGCACTTTTCGTTGTCAACACCATGATCGTAGTGCTCCTTTATTTTATAATCTAAATTACCTTAGATTCTGACTCATCGATTATTGGAGTTAAAAGGCGCCTTCCTTTTAAAACCTTTCTTAGCACAAAGAGTTTCATCCTGTTCATCTGTGTTCATATTATTGACCATTTTCCAAGTTAATATAGTGGTCGGTTGTAGAATACGGTGATTTGTCATCGAACTGTTCTATTGAGTGATTTTAGATAATTTTCCTGAAAACTATTAGGCGGTTACTAACATAAAATGGGCGTCACCGACGAGTGATTTGTGAATTTATTCACCCAATAAGCCTCATAAGAACAAATGTGGCTGCAAATGTCTGATATTGGAGCGTGCAGCAATGGATAATTAAGGGGTCGGTGGCTTTGTGATTAGCACATTTGGTTTTCATCCATTATGCGACAGTTAGACCGTGTTCAACCCTGTCCAGTTTGGACAGCAGTATATTATCGCTAGCTATCAAATGCAAATGTATTTCAAAGCCGAGTCCTGTTTGGTAAAGACGCTAATAAAATTCAGTCTCTTAGTAGTACTGGGAAGCAATGCCGGGATATTTGGAGTGCGTTTCCCCCACCCTACATGTAAATTGTTGCTTCTGGTCTGGCCTGCGTCAACACCTGAACTAAGGATAGGGAGTGAAGTAGTCGAACGCGTTGACAACTTCAATTATCTTGGAAGTCTGATCAGCCCTAATGGGTTGGTATCGGACGAAATCTCAGCACGGATTCGAAAAGCTTGTTTGGCTTTTGCCAACTTACGTCACCTATGGCGAAGTCGAGATATCCGTCTGTCAATTGAAGGACGAGTATACTGTGCAGTATTTCGTTCTGTCCTACTTTATGGTTACGAAATGGTGGTCATTAAGGGTAGAATATATTCCTAAGTTACTAGTATTCAATGACAGACGTCTTAAAAATATTGCCAGCACCTGATGGATCACCGGGTAAGTAATAGTTAGGTTAGACGCAGGGTATTAGGGAATGATGTTAAATTAGTTGATGGGATTGTGAATCTTCATCGACTGAGATGGTTGGGCCACGTATTACGCATGCCCAACCACCAACTACGACGGCGGGCAATGCTGGCTAGTGTTGGAGATTGATGGAATAGTTACGGGCGGCCAAATCAAAATGTAGTATCAGTCCATAAAGTTACTGACTTCTGGTCTGAGCCATGTTGGTAGATGCAGACTACTTGGCTGGGGTCCACGCGACTACTGTAACCAATGGTTGGAGACTGTGTGACATGGCTCAGAATCAATCACAATGGTGTAGTTGTATACACTTTTCCTTCCCTTAAACCGTGAGATTAAAATTACTTAATCCTGTTTTATCAACTAATTTTTTCTCCGTATCATATCCTTTTATTCAACCTTTATATGTATGTATATATTACTGCCATTGAAGTAACTACTTCTATGGATTTGGTGTTCATCCCGTTGTGCTAATGAGGCATAGCAATTTCGATCGATGCATATATGTGCCTGGTCCTACTTTGTAGATGAATTACCGACTGAATGATATGTACTTGGTAAATGAAGTACATTTTAATTTTTGTTATGGAAATAAATAATAATCGAAACAAAAGTCGTTATACGTCTATAACTGTCCGTTGAACTCTACGGGATGGAAGTAATTTTTTTGCTGTTAAAATAAATTACCACTTCCCATACTTTTAACGTGTCTAGGATATCAAATATGTTGTATGGCAGACATGTAAATATCCTTCTAAATTCCAAATAAACTGAGCATTGGGTAGATTGTTATTAGTAAATATCTTTGTATTTTTTTAAACATTGGTCTGGTAATAATAGTTCACTATGTTGATGAATACGCTTAGCTTTTTGTCCATATACAAACTGTCAGTAAAACTATCGATGAGTGTATTTGTCAGTTATTTCAAAATGGTTTTTTGTACTTTGAATATACTATATTGTTAAAAAGGGATTTTCTTTGTTTGTGTACAGGAAGTATAAAAAATTAAAAGCTACTTTAGAACGACTGGAGAATTTAAATGAGGAGTACGACCGAAAAATTCAGCTTAGAAAAACGCAATTCCACTTGTTTTTGGTTGCCCTGAAGGGCTTACAAAAGATTGTCGAAGGTAAGTCTTATTTAAAATAAACTGCTACCTAATTTAATTATCAATTTTTGTAGATGATGATTCGCTATCTTCAGTCACAGATGATTTGGTGCATACACAGTCATCAAAGTCTGTACACGAAGAGATTTCTATGAAAATGGATACAAATTGAAGAATATATATGTATTTATAGTAGCCGTAAAATTTTGCCTTTGTTCATTACGAGAAATTGATTGACCTCGCTTCAATCTTGATACGATCTTTGTACGTACGTCTTGTAAATATAAAGTATCACATGTAAATTTGTTGTGAGATATGGTCAATATAAACTTCTCGTTTGACAACATAAGGTCGGGTGGTTGATATTTGATTATTTTGTGTTAAACGTATCCAATTTTACTTGCTTACATCGAATTGTTCGTGAAATCTAAGTTGAACTCTAATTAAAAGGTTAACTATGGTTGCAACATTCAGCGTTAATCGTTAACTAATGTTTTATGAATGACAGTTAATTTCGCGATAACCCAAGTTCTTTGAATTAGGCTTCATTCTGCAGACATTACTTGAGTTTCGATAGAGCAAACAGAAAACTGAGTTGCTCTATCGAAATTTATAAAAGGGACTAATTGCTTTAAATTACTTGAGTTCTTAAAAAGTTCGTTTGTCATAAATCCCAGTCACAATTCTTTCAATAGTTAAAAACAGCAAAGCAAACCGTTTCTTCATGTACTCGTAGGAAAATACGAGCATCAATATTAAGAGTATAAACAGTTTAAGGACTTAATTTTATCACTTTCTTGATATTTTGGAGAGGAGTAGTACCTTCGAATGAAGTGTCAAACTCACATTCTTTCACTATTATTGTAAATTCACAAGTGGTAAGTGGATACAAATAACATTTCAAAGACATAAACAACGTAAGTGTATCGTTTATTTCAATGAAGAGCCCCAAGTAATTTGGATTATTTACACATTACAGACTTCTAAAACAATCAGGGATTTGGTAAAGATGGTCAAAAAAGCCATGTTAGTCAGTTTGTGGTGCGTGCTACTTATATTGACATAAGTAGTATATAAAGTGAGTGAGGAATGTAATGTCTGGCAGCAGAAGATTGGGAAGATCAAGAAAGAATGGACGGGATTATAAAGCAATCAGTATAGAAATGCAAGAACAATGAAGTTCAATACAATTACTGAACGTTTTGCAAATTAGGTATTATAGTATGGTTTTTCTATTTTACCAAGTAACTCTGTAGTTTTGTGCTAAATATAATTCGGTTGTCCTCACCTGTGTTCTCCTTCACTATAAGTTCACTTCCATCCTTTTTCCTAATACTTTCGAAAAATATTCTTAAAAAAATGAAGTTCTCGGTTTGATTATTTTGACCTATTGCCTTTACAGACATCCACCATCTATTCAACATTCATTTAATCATCGTCCATTTTAGTCGAATTTTCATTTCTAATTTATGACTATTACGATAACTAGTCTTATTTTAACACTACTAAGTAGGACGTTTAACTCTTTATCAGTTAAACCGTCCAAGTAGTTAGCTTTTATCATACCGTTTTTAACTATTATTGTCATCATTATCATTACCGCTTTGCATATGATTATTTTATGGATTTTTTAAGGTAATTTCTACCAGTTTTCCCATTTCATGTAGTGCGCATGTCTGCTGAAATCGATTATATCATGACCTCTCGTTTATTTCTTTCGTCTATAAACCGCATTTACATGGGTATCAAAATAACCATAATTGTTCACCAGTGAACTAGATGACCATAGTTTTGAGGTTAACTGGGTCATTTTTTGCTGGTAATTTTTTGGTTCATGAAATATTTCCATGTTATTCTTTTTATACCAGCATTTGTTTGATGAATATCACTGATTTTGTGTCAGCGATATACTTGAATGTGGAAGCTGTTATATGAGGGGTTAAGTATTCATTCAGAAATGTCAGATTTGTTGATCGATTCGATGGGAAGTAATCAAGTATTTATGAAAACGATGAAAATAGAACTTTTCTAATCTAGGATTAATAAGAATTTATCAAAAGAAAAGGCTTAGTAAAGTGTTTGTTAAAATATCAAAAACATTTTTGTCATATAATATAGGAAATTTATTTTAGGAAGAGTTACAGCACTTATGGTACTACTGAGAGAAATTTAACATAATTTGTCTATTTATCAAATAGTAAAGTCACTTTTTTTTAGCTATCGGTTGTTCCTTTTTTAAACGCGCAACAGCCAGTCATATTAGGATGAGAAACCATTAGTCAGGTTTTCGTAGAGAATTAATGAATAACCACAGTTTCAAATCAAACAATCGACCGTATCCTCAATAACAAATTATAACCTTCTATTGTAGCAAATTGTGAACAAATCGTTTTTACCGGTTTTAGTATTTCCATGGTATCGAATATCATTTAATGCTCAGCGAGTTTTGTATTTTCTAAATTCTTTCATTCCGTTTCGTCCAATTAAATGACTAGTTTTAAATTCGTAATTGGTTATTTATTTCTGAAAATTGACATGTAATGTAAGTGCTTGTGAACAGATCCACTCTTCTTCAAATTGTGAACGATAATAACGTACAAAGTACAAGTTCTATCGTTTCTCACGTTGTCACCGACATGGAAAACATATTCTTGAATACGTTGTATCTGGTAGCGTTCCAATCGCTTGAAGAGTTAAAGAGCACCATCAGAACTTATGAAAGGGCAACGTCCTGCCATTATGCGGTGGGAGAATCTCATTTCCATAGGAATCAGAAGACGCTTATTAAATTTGCATGTTGGAGAAATGGCCGTGGATCACCTGGCGGATCCTCACAGCCGATTAGACGGAAGTAATTTGATTAGTGTTATTATATTGTTAATGAAGGACTACAATGAACACTCAATGTCGGTCCTTCATCTTTTTGAAGTTTATTGGATTGTTATTCGTGGGAATGTGCATCACCATCATGAATACAATTCCCTGATGATAATAATCCTTGGATTCGCAGGTTTCGCGCGGAATTTGAAGCCATATGACCTCTTCTGATTCCGGGGACAACAGCATTCAATACTGTGCACTCCGTTTACCAATCTTATGGGAAGTGCCTGAATCCCTAAGATGTTTTTAACATGCGCCGCAAAGTGTTCTCGCAGGCCAACCTTCCTGGTAAGCAATGCGCCTATTTACATTGTAGATGTTAGGTGATTACACCAAATCGAAAGTTCACATCACGTCACTTGGTGGGTTTTGTGAGTACGAAATCGATGAAGAGAATTGTCTTCTGCGCTACTTCTTCGCAACTGCTGATCAGATAAATTTGACAACTCGTTTTCTTGCTGTTGTTGGTTTTGATGGGACCTACAAAACCAATTACGGAAATTCATATTTGTATCAAATAGTTGCATTGGATATGAATTTAATGGCATTAAATGATATTTTTATCTGTCAGTGAATGCAAATAATTTGATAGCACAGATCATTCGAATGATATTAAGCATATGTTTGACTTTATGTGCTTATTTTTATTCATAATTAATGAGGCAATTGGCTGCTGATTCTTGTGTTTGATTGAAAACGGAACTATGGTGATAGGTCACTTAACAAATATTCATAGAATGTCTTGAAAATCTTTTAATTTGTACTTACATTTGACCGATTATTGTATGTTATGATGAGAAGTCAGCATAAGCAGATAAACAATTGCCCCATCGTATAAAAATATAAGAGCTTTCACTGTTATGGTTTATACTTAGACCATAGTAACCTTTAGTTTGAAATACATATGTTTGAAGAGTGTTCATACCAATATTTACTCTAAATGAGAAGACATGTTTTAAAAAAAAGCGATTCACAGCATGAATTAGTCATTTAATTTATATGTTTATCAATAAGGAATTTAAGTCAACAAAGGGAATTCTATAGCGAAAAACTGTCCCTCAAAAACATGGTTGTCAAGTTTCCATTTAAAGGGAATTATTTTAATGTCCGGAATAGATTTTGACTGAGGGTCAGGATTGAAATGACTTCCTACTCCTAAGTTATTTATCGACTCTATGAAACAGAAAGACTACTCAGAGAATCTAACTTAGGTAACAGACCTTCCTTATTTAACTCCCGTTGAATCCATCCATACCTGAAGTAGCACGCAAATTGATAGAACGGATAGGATATTTATCTAAAAGAATCTTCAAATCATCCAGAAGGGCCATAATTTGATCTGTATCAAAGATGCTTTACAAAATTCAAATAGTCTGTGTCGTCAAATAATTCACTGACAGATATGAATCAATCGCTTAGCATAAGTGGGTTTCAGGTATCATATCGAAATAATACTCAATAGTAAATGAAAAGTCATTGTCTAAGTCTCACTGCTGTAAAATCTCGTATTATTCGTTAAGTAGGTCAATTGAATTCTCAGCTTTGGTGTTTGAAATAAATGTATGAGATAAAATGACTAAGGTGATAAAAGTAGCAAATTACCACCAAAATCGAGAAATCACAGTATTTGTGGAAAGTAGACTTTATTGGAAGTTCAAATAACTACGTTTTTGACTAGTCACATAGGCAAACGGGGAGAGGATAAATCGAACAAACTTCACACATAAAAATTTCATCCTCCTTTTTGATGGACGTTTTTATTAAGACGCCCTTACTGATGGACACCCCTCTTCATCACTCTCTTTTTCACGCTCTTTTACTGACATGTGCATGTAAAGAACAGCTGTAATATTCTGATTAATTGAAGCAGTACATTTTTCATCGACTGATTTTTCATAATATTTTCTTGACTATCATTACGGACCTATATACTCCAGTAAGATGCATTCATAATCACATCATTGGAAAATGAAAATTTTGAAACTACAAATATAAGCTTTCTCAGTAGAAAAGCACTGTAAACCTTGGATATGTTGTGAATGAGAAAGTTTATGTAATTAATATCTGATGAGCATTTTATAAAAATAGAAAAAAACAGTTTCGTGAAGTAATGGTGTGAGTGATTTAAAATAATAAAAGTAACTAAATATTGTTAATTTTCAGCAAATTAATATCATTGTTGGATATCATGTTGAAATGTCTCGATTTAGTGTACAAATGATGAAAATATTCATTCCACTAATTTGCACACGAAAGTTAACAGACGTTTTCAAACTATTGTCGTTTTCAAAA